GATTCGCCATGCAAGCTCTTCAATCATCATCTCTCCGTGCTTCTCCGCCGAACCCACTTCGTAGACCTTCGAATCTCCAATCGAATCAGATTGCAAATGCAAGACCCATGAGAAGACGCTCATTCATCTCCGCAACAGCTTCTGTTTCCGCTCCTAAACGCGAGACAGATCCGAAGAAAAGGGTTGTGATTACTGGTATGGGTCTTGTCTCTGTGTTTGGTAACGATGTTGATGCTTACTACGAGAAATTGTTGTCTGGTGAAAGTGGAATCAGCTTGATTGATCGATTCGATGCTTCCAAGTTCCCGACTCGATTCGGTGGTCAGATCCGTGGGTTTAGCTCTGAAGGTTACATTGATGGGAAGAATGAGCGTCGGCTTGACGATTGTTTGAAGTATTGCATTGTCGCTGGAAAGAAAGCTCTTGAAAGTGCCAATCTTGGTGGTGATAAGCTTAACACGGTACATTTCCATTCTCAGTATCTTAGATCGGATTTGAAATGGAAGTTGATGAATTTTGATCGATTAGGCATATCTACAGGTTAAATTGAGCATTTTTGGTTTTGGGTTTATTGTAGATTGATAAGCAGAGAGCTGGAGTACTAGTTGGGACTGGTATGGGTGGTTTGACTGTATTTTCAGATGGTGTTCAAGCTCTAATTGAGAAAGGTCACAGGAGAATATCTCCATTTTTTATTCCTTATGCTATAACAAACATGGGTTCTGCTTTATTGGCGATTGATCTTGGTCTTATGGGTCCAAACTATTCGATCTCAACCGCTTGCGCCACTTCTAACTACTGCTTTTACGCGGCTGCGAACCACATTCGTCGTGGTGAAGCTGATATGATGATTGCTGGTGGAACCGAGGCTGCTATTATTCCTATTGGTTTGGGAGGTTTTGTTGCTTGCAGGGCATTGTCACAGAGAAATGATGACCCTCAAACCGCTTCGAGGCCATGGGATAAACAAAGAGATGGCTTTGTCATGGGTGAAGGAGCTGGTGTTCTGGTATGTTTCAGAATTTCTTACCTCACATTGAAACTATGAAGTTACGTAGTGTTGGTTCTTGTGTGTTTGGGTGTTTGTATATAGGAGCCTGTTTTGGTCTAAATGAAACTGTTGTGTTTGATACTCTACTGTCTTTAGTTGAGGACCCTTACTCCTTTTGTTGAAACTTCTGTTCCAATAGTCGATTAGCTCGGTAAGTGTCCTTGCTTTTGCATTGTACTACTCTACAAAGTTGTTTTAATTCACCATGAGATTGCCTCATACATGTGACATGTTGTTTCCGCAAGCCCATTGATTATATTGATTTATTCTGTGTTCTAATAGGTGATGGAAAGTTTGGAACATGCTTTGAAACGTGGTGCTCCAATTGTAGCAGAATATCTTGGAGGTGCTGTTAATTGTGATGCTCATCATATGACTGATCCAAGAGCTGATGGGCTTGGTGTCTCTTCATGCATCGAGAGCTGCCTTGAAGATGCGGGTGTATCACCCGAGGAGGTAGAAACACTATCTTTTCATGCTTTTGAAATTTTATGGCTATCTGAAACAAAGGATTTCATTAATAACCTGTTACTTTCCTACTTATTATATTTAGCTTCTGATTCTCTCCACTGTTTCAGGTAAATTACATCAATGCCCATGCGACTTCCACTCTTGCTGGTGATCTTGCTGAGATTAATGCCATTAAAAAGGTATTCAAGAGCACTTCAGGGATCAAAATCAACGCCACCAAGGTTCGTTCCATCCTAATTCCGATATTTTGAATGTTTTTCTCCTCCTCTATTTCTTGTATTTGTTTGCGTTTCATTTCCTATAATGGCAGTTTTGTGAATGAGTGTTACAGTCTATGATAGGTCACTGCCTTGGTGCAGCTGGAGGTTTAGAAGCTATCGCCACTGTGAAGGCTATTAACACTGGATGGCTCCATCCTTCGATCAACCAATTTGTACGTATAATCTCTCCTTTTCTAACAAAATCACTTTTCCAAGTTCAACATTATAATCCATGACAAGAACCCAAGAAAAAAGGCTTCTTCGATTCCGTTCCCCGTAGATTTAGATACCTCGATTTTTTACTGTTGCAAGATTTTGAACCTGGCCTTTGCTTGTTAGATTCTTACCCTCTGTTTGTCATTGTAGAACCCAGAACCAGCCGTGGACTTTGACACGGTCGCGAACGAGAAGAAGCAGCACGAGGTGAATGTTGGTAAGTGACGAGATGGCCACCTTCTCATTTGATTAAACCGACAACGATTTCTCTGATCATGTCTTTATGTTTTTTTTGCTGCAGCCATATCAAACTCGTTCGGATTCGGTGGACATAACTCAGTCGTCGCATTCTCTGCTTTCAAGCCCTGAATTTCTTCAGACCCTTGAGATTCTCTGCCCCATCTGTGA